AGAGCCAATCAAAATCAAGAATCTATTCGTAGATCATTCTAGAATGCGATTTCCTAATTTGGTATATTCCCAGACTGAAATAAAAAAAATAAAACAAAAAAAAAACAAAAAAAAAAAACCAAGTGGTAAAAAAAGCAAAGTATCAAAACAAAAAAAGCAAAGCAATAATAAAAGCAAAATAGCTAAAAAAAGCAAAAGTAACAAAAAAAACAAACTAGTAAAACAAAATGATAAAAAAATAATTATTATTATCAAAAATAGTTTTTATATATAATTGCTGATCTTAGATATAATTGGCTAATTATATAGGGATCATTATAACAATAGATAATCATTTTATTTTTTTATAATTAAAATCAAAAAATCAGAAAAACAAAATTATTTAGAATAATAAAAGAAATTAACTTAGTTTAAAAATCTTTCAAATTATTTTTTTTACTTTTTTTAAATTTACTAACTATAACTAGTGGTAATTATTACTAGTATATAATTAGCCAATAAATTTACAAAATCAGATATAATATACAAATCAATTGTATAACAAAAATAAAAATTTTTTTAAAAAAATACTAATATCTCAAAAATTTGTCTATGAAATTATCTTCAAAATTTTAATAAAAGATTTATTGTTAAATTTTGCATATAGCTAAAATTCTAAACCTTATTTTAACTCTAAAATAAATGAAATAAAATCTTTCTTTAGTTTATTATTATTGGTTAATTATATACTGGTAATGATCACTATTAGTTATTATAACTAAAACTTTTTTTTTAAAATTAAAAATAATTTTATTGGGGTTTTTATAATAGATTAATCTTTTTATTATTTTAAAAAAACTTGTTTTCTTGATTTTTTTAATTTTAATAGTAATAATATTATTAAAATCAACTCAGTAAAAACAAAGATATAATCTTATAATATTTATATAATATTTTTATAATTTTTAGAACATTACTCAAATTTCAAAAAATTATATAGTATCTTCAATTTTTACTAAACAAATTTTAATAATTTTACTACTATTAGAACCAGAATAACCAGAAGAACAAGTTTTATTAAATAATAAAGAGAATTAACTTGGTATAAAAGCCTTGTCAGATCACTTTTTTAAATCAAAAAATTATTATTTTGGTACGTGTTCATAAGATGAAATATCACATGATCGGTACGTGTCCATAGATTTTCCACATAAACTTTCCCATGTCTAAAGTAGAGATGCAGTTATACCGGTATAATAGAAAATGGTAGTATAATACCAGATACAGTATAATACCGTATAATATGACATAGTATTATGCTCTCAGCTTATATAATATTATAGGGAAAACTTCGGAATTGCAAATAAAGCAATTTAATTGGCTAACCTATTTCTATTATTGGTAAACTCGCATCACTAGTCTAAAGCCGTGTATCCACGTGACTTTTTTGTGTAAATCAACCAATCGGAATCGCGAATTTTGAAGTTAAAAAGCAAAAATATAAAAAAACGGCAGTCTAAACCTGTCTTGTGCGTTAACAAAAAATGTCAGGGAGGAAATTTTACCTATATACCTGCCTTACACTAACGCTCAAGTAGCCCTAACCCTAATTTGAATTAAAACCTTAAAATCACGTGGGTACATATCCCCCTTATTTTTATATAGATCCTCTAGGTGACCTACCATTGTTTTAATTCGCGACAATTGAATAGGAATGTATCTCGTGCTTCCAAACTAAAAATTTTCAAAATCTTACTCAAGTCCAAACATGATAATTCGTTTCAAGTCCTAAGGGCTTTAACAAATAACTTCGCGCGAAATGTGAGAATTTATACGGACAAATATAAAGTTCAGCGGATAATAGGTTTTAGTAATAGCTCTAATTTTTTTAAAAAAATTTTTACATTTGATAAATCACTAAGATTTCTTTAAAAATTTATTCCGTGCGAGATGGGATCATATGGATTTTACCACAAAATCCCGACATCCCAAATCTCGACAGGTCATAATACTGACATCACGCGAAGTGACAATTAAAAATTTAAAGTCTGACAATGATTGTTAATGTCTTTAAATATTAATTGTCACGTCGGGATTATGGTTTTCGAGATTTTTGATGTCTGGATTTTGTGGTAAAACCGATCATATGATGCAATTTGCAAGAGGATATTGTAGTAACAGTGGTGATTGTAGTAACAATGGTGGTGACAGAAAAAATTCATGATCAGGTGATTGTGACCCAATCATAGGGATTGGAACCGCCTAAAATTTTTCTTAATCGTTTAACTGTTTAATTTGGCCGGCATTAAAATAATTCCAGCTTACGACCAACATAATTCCGCCTGGAACTATGGAGCAACTTTTAAACGGCCAATCCCTACCCAATCAACGATCAAAAATTTAACATTGTAATATACCTAATTGCATAAATTTTGTATGTTGATAGGTCCAGAATGATCTGAAATCACCTGATCTCGAATTTTTTCTGCCACCATGTTACCTGGAAATAGTTATCTTTTGCAAAATACGTATGGAACGTAAAGTTCGAAGAAATGTGAATAAAGACGATAAATTATAAATAAAATACAAGAATATAGATGATAAATTATAAATAAAATACAAGAATAATCATAATAAATAAGAATCAAAAGTTTATTCACCAAGTATTCATAAATTAAATTATAGTAAATTATCAAAATCAGCCGGGGACTTAAAAACAAATGGTGTTTTGATAGTTTTTCCTTTTAACATTTCTAAGCCCTCACCAGAATAACTAACCAATGGTGAAATTTCAAAAGTAAGGTGATCAGGTGAATCACCATCACCCGGTATGACTTTACCACCAGCTTTTTCAACAAATCTCACATGTTGGTTTATGATGTCCCTTCGGCTTGTTTCGGGGTTATCACATACGGTACCCGGTGCGTTCTTTAAAGGCGAGAATTCTTCTTTTCTATCAGCTTCAAGAACTGCCATGCGTTTAGTGAAGGGAAAAACGTCAAAGACAAAGAGCTCAAGTTTCATGCCGTTTGGTTTGGAAGGGGCAATCAGTTCTCCAGTGCTAATGTCAATATGTTTAATCTTCTTATTTGCTATATGGTATTCAAGTTCATTTTCAAATGATTCTATACAATTGAGGAAATCAACTGTGTAGAAGTGGTTTGCAATATTAGCTGCACCAAAGGATAGATGGCCATTAGGCTTTCTCTGCTCAGCAACTGCAGGTTCGATCTCACTATATTCTACCACGTTAAGCTTGCCATCGCGAAGGGCAATAACACCTACAGATTCATGTGGATCAGTTTTACGAACGACTTTGGCACCACAGTCAGCGTTTTTGGAGATACAATAACCAATGAAAACAGGATCGGCAACGCGAACAAGACAATTGTCAACACAATAAGCGTGTGCATAACAAATATTTCTCGAGCTCATTGATTCAAGAATCTTTTCCTTTCGTAGGGCCGCATACATTCCACCATTACCATCAGGAGCAACGGCAAGCTAACAATTTTTAAAACGAACATTAGCACACACGCAAAAAAAATATAACCATTATTAGATACATACAGTAGATTTTGTTTCCATAAATACTTTTCCTTCGTAAGTCAATGCGGGTAAAGTCCCTAATTATAAAATTCAACGGAAATAGTTGGATTTCGTGACACAATACCAAAATGAAATAAACGCGCTCATTCTTACCTTGCTCAAAAAAGATAACGTTATCTTCTTTTAGTCCAAAATAATTGTGTTGTTTGAAAAATGTTTCAGTAGCTGATCTTGTTGGGCCACTGGTCATTATGTACCACGGAATTATCACTTCATTTTCGGTTTTCGCGAAATCTTGTGCGACTTTTTGTAGCCTTAGAATGCGTTCTGCTTGAAGTTGAAACAAGGATTTACCCGATGGCAAATGAATATCATAACAACCCTTTGGAGCTGTTGAGCCTAGCCTAGTTCCTTGACCACCGGCCATCAAAATGACACAAACTTTATTTTGAGCGATCGCATTAAAACCTAATTTTTCCCAGTCATTGATCTTATCTTCACTTGCATCTAATACTGAATCAAATACATCATCAGGTAACGGTTCTAAATTTTGTTTTTTAACATCAGAAGTATTTCCTGACGTGGCTTTCTTGAAAATTTGATTAACGCGTTCAATATCAAGTTTATAAAGTTGGTTGAAAAGAATGGTCTGCTCTTCAGGTTTAAGATCTTCATAAAAGGTAAAAAGATGATCTTGACCAGCAGCAGCATACTTGGCCTTCAATGATTCAAGTTCAGCTTGAGTAGGAGCCATCTTATTCCAATATTGAGTTCGGGTTTGTAAAGTTTAGTGTAAAGCCTTTTTATAGCATCGTAATTTCTGCAACTAATAGGACCCGCATGACTATCGTTATTTATTTATCGCAAGTGATAACTAATTATAACACGACACGGTAAAACGTGGTTACAGATCACTACCTAAATTTATCTTGGCAAAACCGCTGGAGCAGGGTTGTAAAATTACCGTACCGTAAACTGTTGTATGCAAGATCCCCCACAGTAGTAGACCAATCTATTATAACCAAATGTTGTTTTTTAAACATCTAGATTACCTGCTAAGAAATATGCATGCTCTTTAATGATATCTTAATATTGAGTGTTTCAAAAGTCATTATACACGTTCCTATTTTCTTATAGGGATTATAATGTTATTCAAATATGTATGTACTTTTTACATACTGTACGTAAACTTTATACAAGGTCACTTAAAAAGGGACGTGCATAATGATTTTTGAAACACCCGGTATGTCTCAATATGATTTAGTGGGGGTATTACCGTATTTGCGCGAGATAACGCTCCGGGCGTTATTTTGAGGCGCACAATTTCCGGAGAGTTAAGAATTAATTTAGATGAAGATTTTTAAAAAAAATATTGTTTATATTCATCAAGGTCAATTCTTAGTTTTCTGGGGCATTATATTCAAAAAAGGGTTGCATTTTGTATTGAGCATGTAAGAAAATTGTCGATTATACGGCCTGCATTAAGCTGTTTTTGAGGTTAGCTAAGTTGGGATTAAGTTTAGATGAGGGGTTAAAGTTTATGCCAAAACTATATAGCTACCGAATAAAAATTTTGACTAGTAATGCTTATCAATAAATAATATAATAAATACATAGTAATGCTATCTAGTCGAAAGTTTATTAAAAAAAAATTCTGCGAATAAGTTTTATTCTCGTAACTTTATAGTTGCTATTGCTGCAAATTTCCAAACACCAATACATGTTGAATCGTGTTAATATGATGCGCATACGCCGCATACATTGTTTATTATAGCATATCGTTTCGATACTATATAGTGCGTAAAAAGACCAGTGAGTAAAAAGTATGTCATCTAATACCAGTGCATAAAATGTATGTCATCTAATGACAGTACGTAATATAGGGACAAAGATTTTAATGTTGGGGATTATGCTGAAATTGGATTATGCTAAAAATTGTGGGTCTTTTTTTTAAACCTATAATACCTATCTACTAAAATCCACATATACTCTTTTATTAATAATACTACCCTAACCCTAATCCAATTATCCCTTACTTTGTTTTGCAGGCAAATTTGCCTGCAATTTGCATTTTCTCAATAAATTATTAATCTAAGAGTATATAGCATTATAAGAAGACTAAATTGTTTTGTTTAATAATTTTCAAAAAATGTTATTTTTAGTACACTTTCTATCTCTTTATTTCTTTGCTCACTTTTGGAGTTATTTAATTTTGTACTATCTTAGAAAGTTCAACATATTTAAATATCAATAATTATCATCAGAACTTAACAGATATCAGATATATAGTATATATTAAAAAAAAATTAATGTTAATTAATTATATTTTGGTATTAGCAATAAATAAAGAATTAATAAATTACAGTATAATTATATTTAATACTAGTAGTAAATTAAGAAGAATATTGCTAACTTGTCTCTCTGGTTAATATCATTTTTCCTTTATTATAAGAGTCTATTAATTTTGCAGTGGCATAGCTGCAGGTTATGTAAATCATGGCACAGCCATGATCTACATACAGATGATCAAATACTCAAACTAATACAATAATCTTCAATCTTTTTTAACTCAAATACTCGAACTAACACCACCAAGACAAATTCTTTTGAAACTATATTAGGCTGCATAAATTTAATATCTTGGTTTTCATAACATAAAACTTTTAAACAGACCTGGCCGGCCGGTTTTTTTTTTTAAATTTCATATATAAAAATTTTATAAAATTTTTTTAAAAAGCCTACCTGGTTATTAAAACATATAAAAATTTTTTTTACAAGATTTCAAATTTTGATCTGGCCAGGTTATGAAAACCAATTAATTAATTTTGCATAGTCTTATTAAGAACTTATTATTATACAAATTTATTTATTTTTTTTCATAAATTAAATTATCAATCTTACTACTGGTAGTTGTACTATAGTTAGAGAAGTGCAGTTTATTATGTAATTTATTTTTATTATAAGGTCAGACCCCTCCCTCCCTAATGATAATTTTGATTGGTTAATCTAGATCAATATATCAATACATGATAGACCTGCTATCCCCCTCTTACTTCCTTTAAATTATGTAATAAACGGTACTTCCCTTACTATATAATTTGTAATTATAATATACATAATAAAGACCTAGGCAAAAGATGCCACCCTTAAAAAAAAAAATAAAAAAATAAAAAATAAATTAAATTATCACTACAATATCTAATTACTTATCACCTTCTATAACTATAGAAGCTTTAGTATTATTAATTATAACACTCTCTTCTGTGCTAGTTTTATTCAAGCATAGTAAGTACATTAAATATAGCTTTTTAATTGTTGAACCCCAAGTGGTTTATTAATATCTCTTTCTCTCTACTGCTTGTATTTCTTCTTTCATTTGCAACAATTTGCTCTACTCCATCATAGCATAGACATGACACTAGTTATTAGCTATTCGTTTAGTGTGGATTCATTTGAATACTTGCTCAAATAAAGGCCAATTTTCTTCCACATAAGAATAAGCATCTTTTTCAGAATCATCAACAACATCAATATCAATATACTCTGAAACTTTAATAAGTGCAAATATTATAGATAAGGTATTTTTCATATTTTTACTATTGAAGTTTTTTATAACTAAAAAGGGAGGAGTGGTCTGATGTTCAAAATTATTTTTAATTAGTCGCTGTTGTATACTATTAAGCATATTTATAACTTGTCATACCAAAGATAGATAGCTACAGATCCAACAGAAAACTTGGGTGAAGTATGAACCAACTGAATTAGCTAAGCTATTGTTTCTGTATTAGTATGTTTTTTTTTATTTTTTTTTTATTTATACTTATTTCTTTTCTTTTTTCTTTGCTTGTATCTACATACTCTTACTTTCTCTTGAAATCCTCTCACCAATACGGATTTACTGTGCCGTTTATAAGCTGTGATAACTGATCTTTCAGTGATAAAATTACTTTATTGAACAGTGTCCAAAACAGAAAGTCTAACCTAGAGCTACTAAATTGTTGAAGATAAAACTGTTTGATAACTTCCCAATGAGTTTTAATCTTCATAGTTGTTTTTCCTAAAGGTATTGTAAATCTGACAGATCAAGTGGTTATTTATTTAGTCTAGACGTTAAAAAAGCTCTTTTGTTAGTTAT